AAAATGATAATTCTATCAGCTGTCAAAGTACAGCAGAGTAAGACATCAATAACACCTGCATACCGCACTAAATCTTACCATTACACAATATCTCCTGACCACATTCATTTCTGAGTCCAAAGTATGGAAACAATCCTATGGACAGGTGATGGCTGGGAAGGAATTATTGATAGGACAGGATGGAAGATGGCTAAAGTTAGTGGCAAACAGAAACGAAGCAGCTGTGTGTCAGAAGCCTTTCGTTATGTGCTGCAAATTTGCTTCCAACATGTGGCAACCCTATGACTTTGTGACTTCCCCACAAGTCTTGCCTTCAGGAGCCTTGCTCATTTTGCAGACTCAAGGCTCTGGGTCCCTAATTGATTGAATTCCTCTCATATTTGGTCTTCCTCTTCTGTTGCCTTCAACTTTTCCAAGCTTCGTCTTTACCAGTGGCCAAAATTCTAATTGCACGCCTACACACAGAGAACTCAAGGTGTAATTTCACAAAATTTATTCCAACATAACTTGATGTTACACCAGCATGAAGAGGATACTGGCCAGCCTGTCATGCTGTCTCAAGATATGCCTAAAGTACAATAGCCTCAATTTGGTCCAGTTTTGCTTATGATGGAAGAGTTTGTTTGATTTTATTTAGAACTCACTTGCGTTTCTGGTAGTATTTGCAAAGTTATTTGATATTGAAATATTTTTGACAATGTGTTTAGCACCTTTGACTGATCAGGGCAGATTTATCCTCAGAGGGGAATTTTATTTTGGTCAAAACATTGTATGACTATTAATTAACACAGTTGATCACACCTTTTGAGACAAATCAAAGGCTTGTTTTATACAGTAACAGTGATATACAAGAAACAGCATGATTGTAACTGTTCCTAGCTCTACCTGCTTTACTTACTTGATTCCATGCTATCCGCCTCCACAGGACTAATGACAGAATATGCCACTCCACAGCACTTCCTCTACATTTGCAATAAAATGCAGATGCAAAGTGAAAACTGAAAATCAGCCACAATACATTTAAAATGCACCCTTTAAAAGGTCAGTTGAAAACATGCAGAACTTTAGTGTTATAATGCCATCCCAATACACCAGTATAAAACTGCACAGGCCTAGCCTTGGCAATTGCTGTCATCACACAGAGGAAAGGAGCTTCAAAAAACCCTTTCTGTCAGGGTAGTTTGTTCATTAGCTTCTCTGAAGTTCAGAATGTTGTTGCACTACTCATTACTCATTGGCAACCAGGTTGTTATTATTAGTGCTGATCCAACTTTAGGAGCAAGTCACTGTTTCGCACACAATGTATGCTGCCGTTACTAACAGCCAGAAAAATACAAGAAATATTCTCTGGTTTCCTCTTGTGGTCAATTCTGATACTACACCCTGATGCTGCTTAAAAGATGATTACAACAAATGTGTGAATACTGCATACAAACCACAGAGAAACAGTTTTAATAATAAATATGGATCTGACAGTCAACATGTTTATGAATGACAAACATTGCTGGGAGTTTCAAAGACAACACAAGCATTTGAAAAAAAATCAGACTTTTTAATTTATGTATTTATTTATTTGGGAACTGAAAACATCTTATTTGGGGAATGTTGAAACGACATACACCATTTTGAACAATTACAACATAGGCTTGTTCCCTAAGGCTTTTAAGGCACTGGTTCTCAAAAAAGAACATAAATCAGTATCATTTTTAAAATTACATAAGTCAACTTTTCTTCAAAAGAAAGTTGGTACTGTACCAATGAAGGGACAACCACTGTTTTTCTTGAACCCCTCTTCCAATTTAAATAATCTTAACAACACATTTTAATCTACCTGTCCCTGAAAAAGCTGTTCTTTAAAAATTGTGTTAAACGTAGGTAACTGGTAGAAATCCCCAAATCTATCTGAACATTTCTGAGTGTGACCAACATTTCTGAGTGTGACCAACAAACAAGGGTTTCATTCTGAATGGTTTGCATGTATTGGGTGTGATAACTCAATTCACAATTAGAATAATCACCACTTTAAAAATCTTCAAAAATAATGGATGCAATAAAATCAACTATTAGTGATGAAACAACTGAGAGGTGTTGTCTGTCTCCTGAACAACTGTGTTGCATAGTATGATTTCAGCAGGATTAATGTAAGACAGGGGTTCACAAACTAGGGTCCCCAGATGTTCCTGGACTACAACTCCCAGATACCCTGGCCAGCACAGCCAGTTCTGGGAGTATTAGTCTAAGAACATCTGGGGACTCAAGGTTGAGGACCACTGATGTAGGAGAAGTGAAATGACTCTTCAAATCCTGAGTAAAAGTAAACCCACAAAAATGTCATACTATTATGTGTTTCTATTCGTATGTTGGTCATGTCTTATTTTTTCTCATACCACGCACTATGAACCGTCAGCCTATATGGTTTCATAAACAAATGCATCATGTAATGCTTCATGACATGTAATACATAATGGAGTTACAATGACTTCTGGATGAATGAATCTACGTATGAACCACAAAGGGCGACATACGCAACAGTAAAGAAGGGGTAAGACTAACACCCTCCCTCTCTTCATGTGTTGACCACCCATTCCAGTGGACTGCTGAATTACACTTTTTACAATCTCTGAATAGTTCTCCACAGCTCAGATTGCACAGAGAACCTATTTAACTGCATTTCAAAGTCACAAAATCAGGATTGTGTGACCTGACCGAGAATACTATATAAAGGCAAATAGCCATTTTCCCCTCAGAGGCAGGAATGAGCTTCTCAGTCTGTTTGCTATAAATGATATAACTTGTTCTTTCAGGGGTTCTCAAATGTGAGGCAAGCTACCAGACATAGAAAGAAGCTGATATCATAGCGAATTCACCTAGAGAGAGGAGGGCCACAATACTATAAAACATATGACTTTTGTAATATCTTGGGGATCTGAGAGAGAGCAAGAGGAGGTTAAGATGGTCACTTCTGCATTCAGTTATGTATTGATTAAAGTGACTTTTAAATTTTATATGCCATATACAACCATTTGGTCTGATGGCGCATGAGTGGAAAACACTCGTTACGATGTAATGAGTGCTTAAGTAGGGTTTCCTCCTCTTGGTTCCAGACATGTCAGGAAAAGTTTAGGGCTCTGCATTCTTAACATCCATTAGCTTAATCACCAATCATGGCAAGGAGAATTTATGATGCCAGCTGTCAAAGACACAAGGCACCCAGAAGAACAAAGAGTACAATTTTTTGAAGAAACAGGCTTTGTGCACGATTGACTCGGCAGCGGACCAGCAATGTCCATGTAAAAATCAATTAATAGCATCAGATGTCAAATAGCTTTTAGAATAGCCTATAAATTACCCCTGATCAATGAGGATCAGCCATGCTTAACTGAATGAAACAGTAAGACTATTAAGTTTTGAGATATGTGGAGGGTTTGTGGCTTAAACTATTTTTCTGGATGAATTTCCATCTGATGCTACTCAAGGGATCAACTGGTGATATTCCTTCATATTACTTGACTACAACCTTAAACATATATGTCACTAAATATAGTTTCTTCTCAGGTATCCAGAGATGTATTAATATTATTCCCTCCTCATGCTGAAATAACATCAAACTACAAATTAGATTTGCTCAACCAATATTTGTTCAATTTTACACACTGTGTTTGTCACCTAATATTTTGAATTTCTTGTATCTCATAACCTTTCAAGGAAGGAAGGAATCCTAATTGTGATCATTGTGGAATCCATTTATTTTAGTGAAGAGGGCAATGATCTACTGACAGGCGTGGGTTTTTGGTTTTTTTGTGTTTTTTTTAAATTCGATCCACTTGACAGACCCACACCTACAAAAATGTAAATATGGCTTACCTGGGGGAAACAAATTGCCTACCATAGGCCTGGTGTAAGCCTAGCTCTGCCCTAACTTCATGTTCAGTCAGCAGCTTGTGTTATGCACAGGATGCTAGGTTTATGCTAGATCCCAAAGCTTTCCTAGCTAGGCCTTTTCTCTGTAAGTGTGGGTTTGGCAGGTAGGACTTCCAGAATGGAAAATTAAGCAATTTGTAGTTCAAAAACATGTCATGCCTATCCACTAATCCCACTGTTCTAGAGGCTTAAAAGTTATTTTAAAAGGCCTTTCAAATGTAATCTTCCAGTGGAACTGGCAAAGCTGCTCAGTTACTCAGGATTTCTATAAATGTTTGTGCATACAATTCACATCTGCTTAAAAATTTCATATAAAGATTTTAAATACCTTTACAAAGTACCTATAGCTGAGAAATATATAGTTGTTGGAACCCACAGCCATCATATGCATGTTTTCTCAGCTGCAATGGTACAGCTTATAAAAATGACTTATGAATTTAGTTATACCATTTCAAAATATATTTCCTGAAAAAGCAACTATAAGCCAGCAGCTTTTCTCTGGGACAGTATGAATTCAAGAGGAAAAACAACGAATGACTGTAAAGATGATTCCACAGGAAGAGGAAGTATTGAAAGAACCAATACATATTGTCAAAAGGCTTTTTCTCTGCCCACAAAACTCACACTTTTTATAAAGCTGCCCTGGAAGGTCTGATGTCTGTTTTTGACTTAGATTACCAACGGGGGACTAGGACGAGCTAACACTTTGAGCAGAACAGGTCTGGGGAATGTGGGACCCTTGACATGTTGTAGGACTTTGACCTCAATCAGCCTTAGACACTATAGTGGAAGACCACATTTTCCCTAATCCTGGGAAGGGCAGGAAGGAGGAAGAGATCATGAGAAAAGGAAAATGTTCAGCCATTTTAACTATTCTCCAGGATTCCTGTGGGAAATTCAGGCAAGGCTGGAATGATGCATTCAGCAAAATAATGCTCTCTTCACATTAAACAAAACAAAACTCTCAGAATTTCTCTAACATAGAAAGAGAGGAAGAGAGAGTACAACAGTCAGATATGGTAACAGTGCTTTTTTTCAACAAAACAAAACTCTCAGAATTTCTCTAATATAGAAAGAGAGAGTACAATAGTCAAATATGGTAACAGTGTTTTTTTTTCTTGCACTTAAGAACAGATTTCTTTTACCCTTCAGTTATAAGTCACCACCTTTCAATACATTTTAAAGCTCCTTCTTCTGTCTACATTATCTTTTTAACTGAATTATCTTAAGGCAAGGGGATTTAAACACAATTAAGGGAACAGCTTCCTTTACTAGTGACTTTACTTGTACGTTAGTGGCTGAGGAAGAATGTACCACTTCAGGCTTTACTAAAAGTTCTCTAATTCACACTCATTTCAAAATATTGTTTGGATATTTTAACACTTCAGAAAAAATCTGATGATCCACGACACAATTCTCAACCTGTGTCTCTCCACAAGCCCCATAGGCTGAAAAGTTGTACTTTCATGTGGCTCCCATTTATTGGTCAAGACGTGTCCCCAATCTCGGCACGCAAAGTGAGCTTCCTATTATTACTTCTGGTGGCATTATCTTAAGGAAGTCAAAATATGAAGGGCTTATGCAGGAGACACTGCAAAATAATGACATTTCTGTTGCGCAAGGCACTCTTTGGCAGTAAATCAGGCAACTTCCATCCGGGACACGTTCTTTCTTACAGGTACATCTGACATGAGATGACATTTAGATATGTGCACAGACATATTCCCTTTTTATTTCACAACATGGTGGGGCTTCAGTTACCTTGAAACACAACTGTCTTTTCTATCAGCAGGAAGGAACAGCAACTTTTAGATTTCAGATTAAATTTTGGGGGTTTTTTTTCCTTTAGTATTAGAATATAATTCTTTTCTTGTAATTTCTATTTGCAAAGGTTCATTTTCATGAAATTTTTAACAATCCAAATAAACAACAACAAGAACAAGAAGGGCTTTCACAGAAAGCAGCATGCATAATCTTGAAGCAGTTTTTGATATTGTTTTTGATTGTTCTCCAAAGAGGCCAATGTCCTCTCCTTTGGTAGTAAAAGGATTTTCTTACTTGCCCCGCATTTCTTTCCCCTGGAAAGACTCCTGTATTGTGTTTGGATTTCTTGGCCAACAGTCTGCATTCAAGTTTATATTAGTGAAGGTTTGCAATTCTTCTTCCTGTCTCTTTGAAACGTGAAGGAAAGTCCGTATTTTTCTGAGCTTTAGCAAAGAAATGCCGTTTGTCAGCTGGATCAGAGCTTAATGTCCTGTGACTCTGACATTTTGGCAAGTGTTTTCTTTACTCGCAGGGCTGTGAGCCGAGAAGCAGGGTTGTGAGCCCAGCATTCTGTCATTAGCTTCCCCATTTGTCTTAGGCACTGCAAAAAAAAAATGAATACAGATATTACACACATGCATGCACACACCCACACATACCAAAATTCAATGCTGACTGCAAGCCAAACTCTGCACTTGAAAGCTAGCTCACACACAAAGTTAATATATTTAATTAAGGAGCCATACCGAGTCTCAAATTATGGCATCCCATGCCTTCAAAGCTTATTGATCCCATGCAATGCACATCTCCCCATCAAAAGTTTCACTTTACTTGCTCGACCTTCAGCTGTTGAATCCAGTACTTACTGAACATATATAAGAAGAACAGCAATTGGTAGAGTAGCCAGACTGCAATTTCCAGCATTCCTAAACTCTGGCTATACCAGATAAAGTTGCCAGGAACTGCATGTCAAGATATCTGGAGGGACACACTGCACATGCTGAGTTAGGGACAAATACTGCACAATCCTAAGATATGATGAATATGTGGTCCTCCAGATATCAATGAACATCAAGAGCCTCGTGGTGCAGTGGTTAAACTGCTGTACTGCAGCCAAAACTGGGGTTCAATCCCAGGTAGCCAGCTCAAGGTTGACTCAGCCTTCTATCCTTCCTAGGTCGGTACAATGAGTACCCAGCTCGCTGGGGGGGGGGGGCAATGTGTAGCCTGCATAATTAACTTGTAAACTGCCCAGAGAGGGCTTGAACCACTATGGGGTAAGCAGCACACTTTGCTTTTGCTTTGCTTTGCTTCTGCCATTCATTACTATTGGCTGTGACGGCTAAAGGCAGTGGGAGTTTCAGTCCGGCAACATCGGGAGGGCCAACTGTCTCTCACTACTGTTCTAGACACAACTATAAGAACACCAGAAGAACTCTGCTGGAGAAGACCGAAGGCTAGCGTCCTGCTTCCCACAGTGGCTAGCCAGGCATTTCTGGGAAGCCCACCAAGACGACATGAAGCATAAATTACAGTGTGGATTGCCATAGTTGGCGAAATGTGATTAGGATTAATTTAAGCTTTCAGGTTTTGGCTATGGGGGCTCTATATTGAAAGTTGAGTCTAAGGGCCAACTTGTCAGCATTTGGTGGAAGAGTTGGTGGATAAAATCAAAAAGCCAGAGCGAGCCTTTGAAGGAAACAGCACCCTCCTGCTATTGCTTTATCTGGAACTGCCTTGGAACATGGAGGAAAGAAAGATGTTCTTCTGGTGGCCAGTTTGAAAGGCTAATTCCTTTTTAGAAGAAGGAACCACTCGTGGTTTAATCCTTCAGGCACCACTAGTGATAGGGAAAGCCATACGCAGCTAATGCAGCAACAATTCAAGCAAGATGGTGCAGTGTCAGCTGTACACGTGGCATCACTCTCTTGGCTGCCAAAGTTTGCAGAATGATTACTCTGCAATCAGTAACTGAAGGAAGCAGGTGACTTCCTGAAAACATGTTCACTCTGGGGGGAGGGGCAAGTGCCCTCAATCCTAAATTCCCTCAGTCTTGTTTTTGCATGTCACTCTTTTCACAATTTCTTTTTTTTTTAAATTCCAACTCCCCTCCCCACATGCTCAAAATTGTTTACAACTTCTGCCATTTAAGTCTTTTTAAATCTAATTGCAGAATACTTAAGCCAAGACTGCTATTCCCAAATCACAGCTGTCTCCTACAATAATGGCATTACACTGTACCACTTAACAAGATTAATGACCTCTGCACAGCATCACCATAACTGTCGGCAGATTTGTCTGAGATACATCAATTACTGGTCTACTGATTCCAAAACACAATTTGGCTTCATTATAAATTCTCAGCGGAAAGTGCTGAGACAACGTCCTCCCTTTCTCCCCCCAGCCCCTTATGAAAAATTGTACGTTTTTTCTATATTCATTTACAAAAGGTAAGAATGATGGGCAGAAGTTACATGTTTGGTCTTTCAAGAACTTTTCCCTCCTAAATGGTGGTGCTGGAGTAAATAGGCTGTTACTGGGGCATACATAATTATTCTCTTAGGACTGTAAATACCAAAACTCACCGGGTTCCTGCTCCTGAACAATGCTCTTGCAATCACAGGCCAAGGTTTTGAACATGTTGTAAAACCCAAAGGAGATTTAACCCAATAACTTGCCTTCCTCCAGTTACTAGCCAACTTCCACATGGAACCCTACCCTCTCTATCTGGTTCCTAGGACCCATTCATAAGCCACAGGGATCAGTCTCAGGTTGAAGGTTAAGCAAAATCTATCCACAGAGACCCCTGTCAAGTAAAAAAAAATTCCATCCACACAAGCCCACTCTAACCTGCAACTTGTTGCAAATTACAGCAACTGCTGGACATAATCCTAAATGGATGTAGTACTTAGCAGACCTATTTCTCTCCAACTGCAGTACAAAAGTAGCAACTCAGGAAAGCTAAAGAACACGGGTCTACATAAACATACTCAAAACCATTACAAGCTCTCTCCAGGATTTTCCAAAATATGCTCCCATTTTCTGATGTCTTTCTGTAAAATAGTTAGTGGAGGTCAGATTGAAAATACACCAAGGGTGGTGTCCTTTGTGCTTTCCCCCCCCCTTCTACGCATCACCTGACTCTCATTCTGAGTAGGCCTAAGAAGGCATGGGAGTAAACTACTTGACCATTTCTGAAAAAGCTCTTCTTCTTACCTCATCGCTGCTCCATCTGTTTGGGAATGAAGGCCGTAACTTCTTGATACAGACTATTTCCCTCATGTCTTCATACGAGGGATCGCTAGGCACGACATCATGGTATGGAAGCTGGTACTCTTCAACGATACCTGGAGGTGGGGGAGAAACACTTGCATGTTGTCTTATTGTATAGCTAAAAATGTAACTGGCTGGACAGCTCAGTGAACTACAGCATCTGGCTGTAGAGACAGAGGCTGGAAGTTCAATTCCCCACTGTGACTCCTGCAAGTATAGCCAACCTGTGGGGCCTTGGACAAGCTACATAGACCTAAGGTATCCCCAGAAGAAGGGAAGGGCAAACCACTTTTGAGTACATTACCTGGAAAACCCTGAAAAAGGGTTGCAATATGTCAGAAGTGACTTCACAGCACACAGTTCTCATTTAAAAAAATTCAGATTAAGAGGTATAGTAGACAACCCTAGAAGCTTGTAAGATATGGTTGTATGGAACAACCAAACAGGTACTGAATCCATTCCAGCACTAGGTTCAACATTTATTAGATTTATCTCTATTGTAACGAGAACTGCTTAATGCCTTCGAAATACCTTAGTATACCACAAAATTATTTCTTTTTAAAAAATCTCTGTTTCTAATGACACACCAAGCTCAAATTTAAGCATCAAATTTAACAGTATCTTCTCATCATTGATGCTCAACTCTGCTGGGAATTCACCTTCCACCCCAACCCAGAAATTCTTCCTGCTAATCAAGTTGTTTTTAGTAAATCAGTGTTCAATGAAAGGTCCTTCTGCACTTGTTCAAAGGCATTTTCTTAATTACCTTTTCCAGAAGCCTTATGGCTAACTCTCCACACCAAAACTGGGTCCAGGCCTAAACTTTACTGAACTCACTAATCAAAGAGTTGACAGTAAAATGTAAGTTCATTGTTTAAATGCTCTGAGCCTAGCAGAAAAAAATCTCCATGCTAGCATTATAGAGGTGTAAAGGAAAGGAAAGGAACAGCCGGAGTTGATCTGGAGGGGAAGGGGAATACAAGAAAATACAAAAGCTAGGTTTATTAGTTCAGATCTTTGCAGATACAGTGGTGCCATGCATTACGACATAATGCGAAAATAAAAAGCCCATTGAAATGCACTGAAACCCCTTCAATGTGTTCCAATGGACTGGAAACTCACTGTCCAGCGAAGATCCTCCATAAGGTGGCCATTTTCGGTGCCTGTGCAGTGAGGAGTCCATCCCAGAAAACAGCGGGGAGCCATTTTATTTACCCTGCAGCCATTTTGAAACCGCTGATCAGCCTTCCGAAAATAGTAGTTTTGCGAAGAACTGGTTCCCGAAGCAGGGAACCGATCATTGCAAAGCGAAAAACCCCTATTCAGACCATCGTTTTGGGATCGCAACTGCGATCGCAAAAAGATCGTCATAATGCGGTTTCGTTGTAATGCGGGGCAACCATAAAGCGAGGCACGACTGTATAAAGTGAATTTCATGCAAGAATAGTGCTGTCCTTCTCCTACAGTTCTCCTAATTCTAGCTAACACCTGCTAGTGCCTGTCTTTCTGCACTTAACTCTGTGTAATCTCTTTGTTAATCATGACAGCTAAGCAAAATCAACCCCATTGTGTTTCTACATAAACAACAGGAGTGCTCCTGTTTTAGCTGTAATGTTTATAACTCTGGAAGTGCCTATAAATGAGCTTCAAAATTGCCATTACAATTATGAAAGACTGCAGCTTTTAAAGAGACTATTAAAACAGAGAATAAATCTTTGTAGCTAGATGAGGATGTACGAGAACACATAGGGGGAAAACGTCCCAGCAGAAGGAAATGGGAATAAATTAAGTTTAGCATCACCAATTATTTAAAAGAGATTATAACAGCTTTTTTTAAAAAGGCATTTACCTCCTGAAACACATCTCCTTGCTATTTCCCAAAGGATAAGTCCGAAGCTATACATATCAGCCATGATATACGACTGGAAGTGATTCCGATTCAAGCTTTCATCCAAGACTTCAGGGGGCATGTACCGTTTTGTTCCTACTCTGGTGTTTGGCGGTATGTCCACTTCGTTTGTATCACTAAAAGATCAGAGGGCAGGGAGAAAGAAACATGACATATGCTGGAAATACGTCCCCAAAATATTAAACTACAGGAAGGGAAAGCTCCCAAATTAAATCCACCTTTTTGCAAATACAGAACTAAGAGGTGATCTGAAGGGAAATAAACTCTTCTCAAATGTTATCCAAGGACTCTTCTTTTAAAAATGTTTACATGCCTGGGGCTATATTAAACATTCAAATGCAAAACCCCAACACAGATCTGAGTCAACAGGGGATGCTAGGAACATTTCCCGAGATTTCATTAGCATCAAGAAGGAAGTCTGATGCCAAGGATAACAATCACATTTTCCTTAAAGTTAGTTTTCTTAAAATGGCTCAGATTCTAAAACTTCACTCTTTCAACCATTCATGCAAGATGACCAAAATAATCTGAAACTATGCAATTACCATTCTTGGGGACTGGACCTGTTGCCTGGAGACTAATTTTGCATTCATTGTAGCTGAAAACATTCAGAGTTCAAGGCCAATTTCACTGCCAAAGGACAAAACTTCACCCTCATCCCAACCTCACATACAGAAGCCAGCCAAACAGGAAGCTGAAACTTCTTTCAACACTTTTGGGAATGTAAGTGTATGCTCCCACCACTCCTGAAGCTGGAGAACTAGACTAGGCAAATCCTGCTTCAATAGATTTTTTACAGACATTTTCTACCAAACAACATCTACAGGCTATATGTAAACTGCCCAGAGTGGCCTAGTAGCCAGATGGGCAGCACAGAAGCTAGCTACCTAGCTAGCTAGCTAGCTAAATAAATAAATAAATAAATAAAATTAAGTGAATGAATGAATGAATGAATGAATGAATGAATGAATGAATGAATGAATACAGACAGACAGACAGACAGACATGAACAGACTCTGAGGAAAATGAACTCTTGGGAGAGAGCCCAGCCTCTCTTTGAATTCTAGCACAGGGGAGAACTATTGGTTAATGTTGGACAGATTGACAGTCACCCAACCTAGAAAATCCCCACCCACCCAGTCAAACAAACTAGAAGAAAGCATACAAAGTTGTAAAAAACAAAACAAAACACATAACTACAACACAACATGCAATCAGTGACAACCTGTGTGCTGGTTTTCTATGTAAAACCACTGGCTGCAACTACATGCCAACAGAAAAAGGTAAAGCCTTTGTATCAATCATCTTCCACATTTCAAGGGGGATACGGAGATGTGGGGCTACAGCAACCAGCCCTCTGCCGCGACACGGTTGCTCAATGGACAGTGGCTCCAGTGATGTTAGTACAGCTGCCCCCATGCCCAAACCAAGAACTGGTCTATAACTGTGCACTCGTGCAATGATGGCTGTTCATACCTCATCCTTCCTCCTCTCTCTCCAGAAGATAAAAACACTCTTCCCCCTACTCCCATGCAGCTACAGCTGCAAGTTATTGATAATCATTTATCTGATTCCACACATGCACACCCACCCACCGTTTCCCAGGACTGGGATCTAAGATGATTTGCAAGAATGTTCACCTATCACACAAACCCCAAAAGCTGATGGGGCATGCATCAGCCCCGATGTCTGCAATTTTTTTTAAAAAAAATCTATTAAAGGAACTGATTTTATACTATTTAATACTACCACGGGTGGGAGAAAGAGAGAAGAACAGCACAGTTGAAGCTGGGTTCTCCTCATGGTTTCTTGTATTTCCCTTTTAAAAAAAAGAAACAAAAGCTAGATTTTGAAGACCAGCTGAAGCAGCAATGAATACCTCATTGGTCACGAAATGCACAAATAGATCGCATTATTGCCAAGTGTTTGCTAGGAGGAGGAGGAGGAAAAAGAGAAGTCCGCTGCCACCCATTGGCATACGGCAGAAGAGGTTCAAAAATGATAGCAATAGGTCAGGTTTTTTGCGAAGATGTTTGTAAGAAGTCATCAGCTTGGGCTACAATAAACTTTGTCTTGAATACACTTTCTTTTTCTTCGCAATAAACCAGAGATCAGGAAACCTCTTTTCTTGAACTATATCTTCCAGTCAACATGGTCACTAGCTATGCCAACTGGAGAACTCGGTGAGTTGTAGTTCAAAAATGAAGCTTCCCATGCTCTGCCATAAACTACCAACATCCAACCCCAGCTCCAATTTCCAACCCACTTCATAAACCTGTCCTTCCATATTTTACTCACCTAATAAACTTAACTGCCAAACCAAGATCTGCTATACAGCAGGTTCCATTTTTTTTCACCAGAATATTTTTGCTTTTCAGGTCCCGGTGGGCAATAGCAGGTTTGCCTTGAGTGCTGAAAATCTCAGTGTGCAGGTGACACAATCCGCTGACAGAAGAGTAGGCCAGTTTCAGCATGGCTTTTGTATCCAAGGTGGTGGATTTTAGGTAGTCATACAAGGATCCGTTCTCATGATAGTCTGTAATAAGATATAGCTGAGTCCAAGACCCAGTACCTTTTATATCTGCAGCAATAAACCCTACAAGGAGAAAAAGAAGGTGAGGCTTCCCGGGAATTGTAATAAAGTGTCCTAACCTACACGTGTCTGCCCTTGTGCTTGTGTCTAAAAACACACACATCAAAGCACCTTAAATTAAATCATGGCATGTTGTGCAGCAGCAACTGCAGTGCCCACAGAGGGTGGAAAAAGCAACAGATCATAAAGAACAACAACAACAAAAAATACCCAACTTATTACCAAAAAAGAAAGAAGGATTAATTACAGTATTCAGATTTGACCAGCAGATACATGGAGAGGAACTGAAATGCAAGAAAAAGAGACAAAGACCATACCTCGGCTACAGGAAGGGTTTGAAGCATATGCAGTGCTTCATTTGGATCAGTATAATAATAATTTGATGCTATCAAGTTAATTGTGACATACGGTTACCCCTTCCAGGCCTCCTAGATATAAAGCTCAAACTTCACCATTCCCTTCTTCTGGAGACTTTCTGGGACTCTGCAGTTTGCAACAGGCTACATAGGCTGGCTCTTTTTCCATGGGACGCACAGTAGGGGATCAAGCTCCCAACCTCTGGCTCTGAGTTACCCATCCAGCTAACCTGCTTGGAAAGTTAAGAGACGCCTGTCGGTATCCTCTTCTATTTACTGCACATATCACTGTAACTGTGGAGTGGTCTGCCTGCTTATGCAACCAGTTGTGCAAACAGGCAGGTGAGTTGCCCCCTCTACATCAATACAGATTGTCCACATTGTCAATGATGCACATGCTAAACTGATCAGGATACTAGTCTTAGAAAGTTGAAACAAGTGGGGGAAGAACATGTCTTTCTTTCTCTTTCTCTCTCTCTGCACCCCGCCCACCCCAGAAAACTGTCAGAGATCAAACAATCCTCCTCCTTCAATTCCAGAGGGCTCACGTCTCATTTCCATTTTAATCTATTTTGGCTACCTCCTTCATCTTCCTCAATGTCCTGCCAGAGATCTAAAGAAATTGCTTGCAGATCGGCTTTTACTTTTTCTACCATTGCTTTATATATGTCAGCTCCCCTTCACCACTTCCCTTTCTCCACTCTCTTTGGCCTTCCCACCCCACAGAAGAGAGGGTGATATAAAATTAGATCAAGCACCATATGGTGCTCTAAGCTTCCCACTTCCTTCCTTCCTTCAGGTCCTTTCCTGAAGAGAAAAGCCTAAGGGGAAATATAGCCAGTTGTTCTTCTAGATTTCTGACTAGAACAAGCACAAAATAATAGAATGATAGGATCAGTGAGTCAAAGAACCTGCCCCTTGAGCCAGGGGTCCCTTGTTCCAATTCCACATTATGCTTTGTAGGAGAAGAACCAGTCTGTGTAGTCTTGGGCAAGCTACACGTTCCCAGAATACCCTAAGAGGAAGGAACACTTATAACTAGATACTCTGTACCTAGAAAACCCTGAGAAGGTTGTCATAAGTCAGAATAGGCCTTATGGCATGCAATTATTACTAAGAGAAAAGGGGATCAACAAGGGAGGGATAAGAAACTGAGCAAAGCAAAATGGCCTGAAACCAAATTACTAGCACTCAAGTGTTTAAAATGTTGATCTGTGCACAGAAACAAAACAGGGGCAGAAAGGGTGTGGGGGGAGTTTGGTTTTCCTGCTACAAGTGTTTTGTACAAAATACACAGAGTACAAAGGGAGGTTATGTGCAAATACAGTCAGTCTTAAGCTGTCATGTATGTATGAACATAAAGTACCAATGGCAGCAGTTTTACACACTTAACTTATTCTCACTGAGGCACTAAGAGGGACAATTCAAATTGATGCACCTTGGATGCCATGATTAAGGCATGAATCAGGCAGAAAAGAAGGTAGCTGCATATTCCAGAGGTTCCAGGCCTACTAGCTGGAAGACAAGAGCCATTCCCCTACTGGTTCATTGTCCTGTAGATCTAAGGTTTGTTTTCAACATCTTCCAAAGACTAGGTAAAGGTAAAGGTAAAGGCTGCTACAAGTGTTTTGTACAAAATACACAGAGTACAAAGGGAGGTTATGTGCAAATACGGTCAGTCTTAAGCTGTCATGTATGTATGAACATAAAGTACCAATGGCAGCAGTTTTACACACTTAACTTATTCTCACTGAGGCACTAAGAGGGACAATTCAAATTGATGCACCTTGGATGCCATGATTAAGGCATGAATCAGGCAGAAAAGAAGATAGCTGCATATTCCAGAGGTTACAGGCCTACTAGCTGGAAGAGAAGAGCCATTCCCCTACTGGTTCATTGTCCTGTAGATCTAAGGTTTTGTTTTCAACATCTTCCAAAGACTAGAAATGTTTAAAGTCAACATGCTAGGATATACTTAACAATGGTAGTGTGGCTGACATCCTTGGTCACACAGCAGTGTTCTGTGGCAATGTCACTGACTGCTCAACGGTAACATTTTGCAGATGATCCAGAAAAACTTGCGTTGGATAAAACTGGCTATACAGCAAAGCACAATCTGAGCCACTGAGTCATGGTGGTAAATTTGGCAGGTTTGGGAGATGCAAGTCCAAATCCTTATTGAGTCACAGAACTCACCCTCTAAGCCTTTATTAAAGACCATGAGCCTAAGAAGCATGAACTACTGTGCATGCATGCCTTCTCACCCTCCTCATGAAGAGATTAAGTTGCATCCAGGTATAAGAAGCAACTGCATTATCATAACTGAGACAAAGTTCTTTGTTATCCTTGACTTATGTAACAAGACCTAAGTAACCCATAACCAGTTGCAAAATATAGAAACAAAATACGGGAACCCCCTCCCCAATCTTCATTCTATTTTAACAAGTGCCACTCACCCAAAATGTTTTCATGTCTCATCAGGACAGTCTGGTAGATTTCCGTTTCTCGGAACCAGCTGGCTTCCTCTGTGGTGAAGAACACCTTGACAGCCACCTTTTCGCCTCGCCACTTCCCCATCCAGACCTCTCCATAGCGGCCTTTACCTATCTGCTTCACCATCTGAATTTGCTTTGCTATAGTCCTTTGCACCTGTCACAGAGACGAGAGTGTGCTGTTATAATAACTAGGTCTACTGCGCGGAAAAGTTGGAAAATGACAAAAATATAGTAACACTCTGAAAACTAACAGTCCCATTTCAGTGTCAGCTTTTGTGGATGAGAATCCACTTCTTCAGTAGTCCAGGCTAGAGATGGGCACAAACCACTGTGCGGGTTTGTTTAGATGAGAATCCACTTCTTCAGTAGTCCAGGTTAGAGATGGGCACAAACCACCGTGCAGGTTTGTTTATTGGCTGAACAGGTATTTGGTCTTTCAGAGCCCCACCCACACTGGCAGGTGCAGACTCAGAGGCAACATCCAGCGAGGCGGGACAGGGAACCCAGGGTGCTGCTTCTAAGTGGATGCCTGCCTGAGGAGGCACGGCTTTGAAGCAACAGACAGGTGTTTGGCTGACAAATGAACCAGCACAAACTGCCAAACTGGTGCTTCATGTCCATCTTTAGTCCAAACACATGTCCCTTATATTTATTCCATGGTGGTAAGATTCATGTTTAGGTGAAATTAGAGAAAACAGACAAAGTGCCAATGGTTTGTCAACACAGGAATGGGATTATCAAGCTATTAATTAGCAGATCTTAGTTGGGGTGATTTGTGGTGCTGGAGGAGACTCTTGAGAGTCCCCTGGACTGCAAGGAGAACAAACATATTCATTCTAAAGGAAATCAACCCTTAGTGCTCACTGGAAGGATGTTGGGAAAGTGTGAAGGCAAGAGGAGAAGGGGGCGACAGAGGATGAGATGGTTGGACAGTGTCACTGAAGTGACCAACATGAATTTGATCCAACTCCAGGAGGCAGTGGAAGACAGGAGGGCCTGGCATGCTCTGGTCCATAGGGTCATGAAGAGTCGAACACGACTTAACGACAAGTTGGGGTGATAAACTAAGTAGGTCGACACGACTTAACGACTAAACAACAAGTTGGGGTGATAAGCTAATTAGGTTTTTCAAGTGTTACAACATTTTGTCCCTTCTCCTTTTTTTGTCAACATGCTGAGACAGTCTAACACAGCTACGTCTTTGGAAAATGCCTGCAGTACCCAAGGTTTATCTCTCCTTAGAGATAAGAATCTTCCTCAAGCATGGGACTTTCCCAGAAAATGGACCTCAGTATTTCATAGACAAGCAAAGGACATAAGAGCCCTAACAGAGCAGGCCGAAAGCCAATGCAGTTCAACCAGGTACTTATGTGACGTCCATGTACCTCCAATCAAGCTTCTCACAGTGGTACGACTTCTGATACTGGAACAAACATTCCCTGATGAGTGGGTTGTTAGTCCATAGCTTACTGCAGCAAAATAATGAAGAGCCTCTAAAACATATAGAGTGGCCCTACTCAGGCAAAAATGCTAGAAAATCTGGATTCTTGCTTGTTATCCTACACATAAGCAGGACTCTTGTCTTGTTCAGTGTATTGTTTGTTTGCTTAATATACCCCTCCACTGGCTACCAATCAGTTTTGGGGCACAATTCAAAGCGCTGGTTTTAACCTATAAAGCCCTAAACGGCCTGGGTCCAAGATTTCTCAAAGATCGTATCTCCCATTATGAGCTGGCTCAAATGTTAAGATCATCAGGTGAGGCCTTTCTCTGAGTCCCACCATCTTCACAAGTATGTCTGATGGGGACACAGGAAAGGGCCTTGTCTGTTGCTGCTCCCAGATTTTGGAACTCGCTCCCATAGGAGGCCAGACTGGCTAGATCTTTGGTGTCCTTCCACACACAAAGACTTTTCTCTTCAGGCAAGCCTTCCTTCAGTAACCAGCTACCTGAGTTTGATTTTTAGATGGATTGTTACGTATTCCTGATTTCACTGGGTTTTTACTACTACTTATGTCTTCCATTTCTCACAGTGATATTTGTTCCTTTTAAATATTTGTATACTTCTTGTTTTTAGCTTTAATACTGTATCATAATGGTGTAAGCTGCCTCTTTATACTCATTGTTTTTACGTAGCTTTTAACAATGTAAACCATTGTTGGATACTCAGTATTTTCAGCTTTAAATATTGCATTTCAATGATATAAGCCATCTTGGGTCCTTTTTAAGAAGAAATAAAATATTTTAAATGAATAATTAATGAATAAAATACACAATCATAATAACAATATAATAAAAACCACATAACATCAGCTTGGCACTATAGTCTGAAAAATGCAACAATGGGGGTGTGTGCATGTGTCTGGGTTAGACACTCCCCTCTAACACTGTTGACTGTACCAGTTTGTATAACAGTTTCTATTCCATGCATCTGAAGAAGTGATATGTTCATGAAATACAACTTTTTCATTTTGTTAGGATACCAGAATTAGATTTTGTTGTTTTTTTTGCTACAGAAGATGTAGAAATCCTAACTAGTAACCACTGACGAGTGTGTCTTTTATTAATTTGTGTAAAACACAGGTTAAAAAAAATCACCTCTCTTCAATTTAAAACTCACCAAAGGCTTTATGAAATAAGTCAGTTTTTGACTGGTTCCTAAACGAAATGAAAATCGGTGCCAAAATATATTTGAAGGAGGCATTTCGTAACTGGAAAGCCTGCAACAGAAAGGGTTCTGACCTAAGCTGTAATGTTGGGACGTGCCCAAAGTGGATCCTCACTAGGTAATACTAATGCAACAACAGATTTAGACAAAAAAGCTGGTGTCTGGTTCCAGGTCTTTTACCACATTCTAGCTGACAGGAAAAGGTTTGAATTGTTCCTAGATACCAGCTGGAAGTTAGTGTAGTGAATATATCTCCCATATTCCGCCCATAAGTTTTTGCATACAAGTTTCTGAGAATATGGGTATAGTGTACTCCCTAAACATGTTTGTTCAATCCAGCGTACCCATTTCTCAGAACTTGTTATACTTAAAGATTATTGGATGTATAATGCACTGCATTTTTGCAGGAAGAAAAACTTTTGTTAGTGGGACCTTATGCTGAATCAACAACTTCTTCTTTAGTCACTGCTTCAGCCAGATTTTTTATTTCGAACATGAGGGTAGTGGTGCTCTGTGTCCATGTTTTTACTCTCCCTTAGTACAGCTTACTTACCAGCAGAGGGAGCCCTGAACCACTTCCTGAGCTCTGAGATTGTTCAATGAGGTCTTTCAAGGATTCGCCAGGTGGAATGTACGTCTCGTCTTGTTCGAGCCCAATGCTGTAGCGCGGAGGCCTGCTCTCCTGTCTTTTATACCTGCATTTTAACACCAAAACAAATATGGGTGATTCTACCACTGGGTGGTGTGACACATGAGGCAAAAACTGCTATTTGGAGCTGTTTAATTCCCCACTAGCATTGCCTGGCAAATTGTCTAAAGCCTTTATGTGTCTCAGCTATTTTCAGCAAAGGCTAATAAAGTCCTATTACTGCTACCTCTGTGAAGTCATGCCTAGTTCCATTCATTGTAATAAAATGTGAAACTGTCAGTTGGATTTAAAACCTCAGACACATACAGAATCTTTACCTGTATTTCAATGCAAAATGAAATTTAAAAAGTACTGGCTGTTCTTGTAAAATTCCTTTCTCTTTTTAATTTCCTTTTCTTGACATCCTCTTAGAACTGCTGAGCTAGAAGAGATCCTATGGACCACTAGGCCCAACTCCTGTCAAAGAGACACAGTGGGGAATCAGATTCCCAACTTCTGGCTCCACAGCCAGATACCTAAAACCACCGAGCTATCCTGGAAAACATCAGCAGTTCAACAACCATTGGCGGTGAAGGAAATCCCTCCCTTCATCTTTTCAGTGGGGGAAGGGGAAAGACAGCCACTACTAGCAATGCATTTTTTGCATTTCTCCAACTACATACCCCATTGTTTCCCTATTCTGGGCGTTTTAACTCAGTTACACACACCTTATAGACACCTACATATAGCTCACTTGGGAGAAATGACCTTAAATGGAAGGTTTTCAGGCTCAGCTAATCCTAGCTCCGCCTCAAAGCCTTCCAGTCGAGCCGCATGTAGGCATTTATAAGGGATGTTTAACTCAAGTAGAACTCCCAGAATAGGGAATTCTGGGATACGTAGTCCAAAAGAATCCAAAAAGCCACCCCTAGCTTGCACTGTCTCTTTCAACCAGGAAATGTACTGAGTACACATCAACAAAAAAAGCAAGGGAATTATGGGATTTGCACATCAAGCATGCGCCTGTGATACACAGGCTATATAGCAACATCCTCCTTCCATTCTTGTCTCTGTGAGCATCAAACATAAGAATGGTAAATTCATTTCTTCCCAGTATCACTCACAAGCTGTCCTGAAAATTTCCACGAAATTTGAAAAGCACTAGTTGTTCTTTTTCAAAAATTCCTTAAAATATAATTTATGCCACACAACCTGCAAATATATGGGTAGGTATCTCTCCTCATTCCACCTGGGGGTTGGAGAAGCTAATTACTTCAGTTCAGTATTGGATAGTACACAAAAGATGCCAAATTGTCCATTCCTGCTTCATTTTAGATATGAGTCCGAGTCAATTTTCATTCAGTGGCACTGCATTCCTTAACTAAAAATGCAATGAAACTAACGTTCTCTCCCCCTCCACTAACATTTGGGCGATCCTAATATAATACCACCTTCCTTCCAAGTGCCCCAAATTATTCATTTTCTGTTTGCAGTCATAAGCTCAAAACATAGGTAAGAGAAAGAAATGGAAGACCATAAACTTTTCAGACCCACCTGAAATAAAAGAATATGATGATCAGCACGAGGAGTATGCTGCAGACCGTCACGGAGATGAGCAAGGCTTTGTGGTGAACATTCCCCTCTGCAATACCTCAAATAAAAACAAATACATTAGAGAACTGAAAACATGTCAGTCTTATACAATCTATACCCTTTATCCCCAAATGCTTGCAGCAGCTTATAAGCACGACTGTAGTCATAAACTCAAAGCACTGGCAGTAAGACAAATGGTTGGCACCAGCAACTGTGAGTAAGTGCGGTTTGGTCAACAGCTTCCAGCCTAACCTTCCGAATGCTACCATTCTGTCTTGATTCACCATCAATACAAATATTTTGGGATATCTGGGGATCTCTGGCACTACAAGCAGGTGTCCTTATTTGCAAGATACAAATGCATCAAATGTTCATCCAGTTGCTTTGGAATCAGGATGGGCATTTTCAAACTGATTATCTTGTACTGTACTATAAGATAAAGCGGAGCAGGCATGAGCTGTGAGAACTCTGTTCCTATTGATCTGTCCAGGAATAGGGCTATTGCATTTCAGGTTTACAGGAATGATGTGACAAAGGAGCTTCCATGGGGACTCTTAGCTTTCTCCCCTGCACTTTTATTTCCAAGCTTGAGTTTCTTTTTCTATTTCGGCCCCAAAATAACATTTCTTTCTAGCTTGCTTCCTAAATGAGCGGCTGACAAACAATGCGACTCCTGTTTGCGTCAGGTTCAATGTTTTAATCTGACATTACCTGCTCCTGGTGCATTAGTGGTGTAAACATTCAAGACTGATTTGAAATCTCTTTTGTAAGGAGACACTGGCAATTAAGAAAACACTCCTGTATGGTATTCTCACTAGGCCAGCAGATTTGTACCTGAGCTGTCACTCCAAGAGAGGGGGAGTGGAAACTGAGAATCCACCAGGGAGATAACTTGTCTCTATGAAGGAAGAGGCTGCTACTGGGGGCAAAGCAGATGGGGAACTTAATGCTCTATGTCACTGTTAATCAGGACTATGTTTCCACTAGTCATTTCACTCCAAAATACATCACCTGTAATAGTCTGAGTATGCTGAAGGCTATATGCCACATAGAGGTGTATGACAGAGGAAGAGACCTTATATGTCTGAGATCAGGCTCATCAATAAACAATCCATAAGACTGACAGCATATAAGTGACAGGGCTCTTTTGTTTAATTTCTGAAAAGAGGCGAAATGAAGAGCCCAACTTTTCCAGGACCAGTTCTAATCACATGTGTACCACAATACAGAAACTGATCCATATAATGATACACTATCTATGAAAAACATCATTTCTCAGCTGAAAGGTATATGTATATGATGCATGAGGAACGTACATAGGCATTAAAAACTTCCAACACACACAATTCCTTGGACTTGCAAGAATCTACACCAAACCGTATCTAAAATCCTAAGAGAAAATACTAACAGTCACAATGGGACTGGTGGATTATGACCAACAATAGCTTCCCTAAAACTGATGGGAAGGGGAACTGCCAGTGGCAGGAAGGATATAATGCTCCATTTCGAATCAGACTTGATTCTGAAATGAGATGAAAACATTAAACTGTACATTTTTTCCCATTCATGGGGCAGTGGTGGTGCCATCAGGGGGTTCACGAACTGTGCAGAGATTTGTACTCCACTATACATTATATGACTCATACTAATCAAAAAATTCACAATGTTTGAGAACAAAATGAAGCTGCAACAGGCAGAGTAGCAAGATTTGCAATAGCTGCCACAAAACTGAGGAAGAATTAACCTATAAGGTTAATTGAAAGGACAGGGTTTTTTTTGGAAAATGTGTTTGCATTTTAACTTGTTTGCAATTTGTTTTTCCCCAGGATTTTGTGAATGTTTGTATTTGCACTTAAATTCGCTAGCATTTTGTTTGTTAAGCAAACACTCCAAACATGTTTAGATTTCTATTTCTATTTTTGTTTTAATTGTAATGCTAGAGGTGGTTGAATGACCAAAGTGGTTAAATGAACAATTTCGTATTCGTTCATTCATTCGTTCGTTCGTTCATTCATTCATTCATTCATTCTATAACTGAGAAGAAAATGTAGTGAACATCTTGGTACAATCCCTTTTACATTACTTCTAAATGTTGGTAGTATAACATAAAAAGAGCCAGCAGCTTGTTAATGCTCCTTCACAAGTTATCAATGAATGGTAGCATTTGACATTGTCTAGCAACTGGCAGGCAAGCATCCAGCTTTAAGAAGTGACAGAATGGTGTAAATTTCAGGAACTGACTGACAAGCTTCACTCTTGCATTCAGTAAACAGGGAAAGCATTCAACAAGAATGAACCTATGAGAAAATTCCTACAAAAGCAGCTTTCTCACTGGTGATATTTCAGAATGGGTTGTGGAATGTAAAGTTTGAAGTGTGTGAGATGTGGCTTTCTTCTAATGCAAAGACTTTCATTCATTAGATCATCAAAGGTCAGAATCCTGTTTGCATATGTGATTCTTCTTCCCCCTCCTTTGTCTGTTCAGATACAGACTATCAACACAGTTAGCACATGTCCAGTTGTACAACTGACTGCACAAAGAGGGGGGAATGCTGTACAACTGTTCTTATGCACACAGGTTTTCTTCAGCTGGATTTTGGCCACTGAGAAAGTAAAACTAGACAGGAATGTGAAGGGAAACGCTGCAAAGAATTGCAGTGATATTTACAGCATAGTACTTTTTGGTACAGTCATATGCATAAATCATGCTGAACATGATGCAACTTCAAAGAAAAGCTCACTCGGATTCAGAGTGTAGAAAAATTGTAAAAGATCATATTTTAACATTTTAAATTAGCTTTTTCAGTTAAAATGCTTATTTTAAGGAGCCTACGTGATTATAGTTGAAGGATCTCATTATGGAACAAAAATAAGAAATTCTAACTTGGCATTATAAAAAATAAAATAAAATTTGCAGTTTTGAAACAACGCTTACATTTCCAAGGACACATCAATATACAATATATATTGATGTTAACATCAATATACAGAAATGAGAAGTAATAGACAAGATCAGCCCAATTTTCCAGCTCTGAGTGAATTTTACGCACCCCTGGAGATTTTTCCCCTTTTCTCTTGACCTGGTGCAATGTTCTACTTTCTTGGAACTCCCATTAAAACCTACAGTATGGCTTTTCATAATTTCCTTGAGTGAGACAGATTGCTTTTGAGTGGCTGCCTAGCCTATTATCCTTCTGCAGCTTTGTGTAGGCCAACTCAAGCCATTCCCTCCCTCACTCTGAAAAGACAAACTCTGGCAAAGAACAGAAGGGATTTGAATTGAATCATGTGATTTTCCAGATCCAGAAGTACACCTTTAAACATCATTAATATGTATTTTCCACAATACATTTTGTTAACAATCTCCTTGCCCAGTGCACACTTTCAAACATTGGAAGTGGCAATGACTAGAGAATGATGGGAAGTGGAATCAACCTGGAAAATTAGATGGATGGATGGATGGATAATAGACGGATGGACAGACGGACAGACAGACAGGAAAAGTGCTATTTTGGAGGAAAAAATTGTCACATGATTAAACTGAGAATTTCTGTGTAGTGATTTAAATGGAATCCAATCTGACTATCTTGCTGGGAATTCAAAAATACGGAGTATTTCTGTTCACAGCCTCAATCCTTTCAAGACTTTACCGAGCAAGCTCTACAGAAAATGAATAAGAACCAATCTTGTTCATTTCCATCTAGAAAATTGCCTGACCAATTGCAAACTCACTCCAGGTTGGCAATGCTCGGCAGTTCCGCCAGAGCAACCTGGGCAGTAACTTACAGACTGTAACACATCTCAAGCACCGTCTTTTCTCCAGTCATCAATGCCCATCTCATTCAATCACCAGCTATACAGGCTTGGAGCCAGACATGGTGGCACCAACACTTCAGCTTATAAGGGCGTTAAATCAGTCAAGACGGATTTCTCCTCTCCTCCGCCTGCGGTCTGCCTTTTCATTGGGATTTCCAGTAATATTTCTTTTTATTGTTTAAAATGGCAATGTTATATGAGGATCTGATTATTTTTCCTGCTTTCTTAATAAGCAGACTGCTTGACCAGCACTAGGGCTTCTTGTTCTCATCAACAAGTTTTATTTCATCCGCAGAGCGAAGAGGCTATTTTGAACTGTAACGGTTGTTGAGCTTCCTTCCTAGACACCAAACCCTCCTTGTTCCCCACTCCTGGCCAATGCCTCATTTTTAAAAAAAAAACACAAACAAACATACAAGACAAAACACAAACATATATGCAGGGAGATAATTTACATATATCCATCTAGCATATAGATCTGACTACATAAACCATATTGCCCTTCTAAGCCATATCCATCTAATATATAATTCTAACTACATAAACCATATTACCCTACTAAAGCATATTTAAGCCATCATTAAGCTCATAGAGTAACTTCCTAACTTTATAATGATTAACATGTGTACATTGTCTAATATACAGACTTAGACCTAGATTAATCTTATATTCGAACCACTCTTAACTGCATAGACCAACTATAATTCATATATTACTTAGTGTCTTCATGTTTCTGACCCATCGATACTTTCTAAACAATTATAATCAAAATATATAATCTAATTTAAGCATTATATGTACTTATCAACCATTTAAGACATTCAGCAAGTAACTTTCCAATTTTTATTGTATTTCTTAGCTCCATGTATAGCCCAGGGATTTCTGATTCCTTATAGCCTTGTGAATCTAGGAACTCATTTCCTACATTCTTTTTACTAGCTTTTAAGATGCCACCTATAAAGTCTCTGCATACCCCTCTATCTAATTTATACACACACACACACACACACACACACACACACACACACAGAGAGAGAGAGAGAGAGAGAGAGAGAGAGAGAAGCTCTGAGCCAGGTCAATACATTTCTCAAAGATCCCCACTTTTGCAGGTAAAAAGACATTGTATACCTAATCTTGTCTATATAATCAGTATACCAATGCCTTAATTTGATACATCCATCTGCATGCAACATCTTTGCTTTCCACCCACCCCCATATTCAGAAAACAAACTTTTCTCTTTCTAGCAAATTCCAGGCCTGGTGGAATACTTTCAAAGAAGCAATATGTCTAAATTTGCTGACATCACCCCTCTGCTTGGGTCAATTGTAGTTCATTCACCTCTGACCTACAGCTGGACAGCCTCCCCCATTTATTTATTTATTTTTTGAAAAAAATCTAAGCTTCCCCTGAGATGTTGTTTGCAAGGCTTCTGAATTTGGAGCCCAATTTGTTCAGTTTTTTACTCCCATGTTTTAGAAAACCATCCTTGGAAAGGCAGTCTTCAAAAGAAGAATTCTTTAAAAGGTGACAATAAAATGTTAATATTTCATTTCTCTATGAGAATTGTTCACTGGAGATTCTTGGATAACCAGCCCTCTTGTTTTTAGAGTTTTTATATTAATTCTGCTACGCTGATGAAAGCCCTTGGCATCATGCACACACATTCATCATATGGTAGGGAGGTCTCTACTGTATGAGAAACATACCATTTTTAAAATTTACTTTGCAATCCCCTATGCCAGCCATTCTCAACTTTTTTTCCCCATGGCCCTAAACACAATATGAAAGAAATATTGGCCGGATCAGGATTGTATGAGTCGCATAACAAACCTTACAAGGTGGTGCCTGAAGAACTGTTTCCAGTCTGTGAGTCCCTTCAAATGTGCCAGCCCACCCACCTGAAAGGGGACATTCAGCCCCCACTGAGAATGGTTCTCTATGCCACAATATAACCAAATGTGACTAGATAGGGCATATTCTGGTGTACTGTAGATTCCTGATGCTGCCACTTCTATAACTGAGCCAGGAAGGAGGAAAAAGCTACCTAGGATGCAAGGAAAGATGCCAATGTAGCACCAGAAAGCAATGTGGTTTTTGGTGAAACTTTAGAAGAAGGGATTTTTAAATGAATTTCTACATAACATGTTTTTTTAGGGAAAAAATTCTACCTGACAAAAATAGATTCTTTAGAGGAGCTCACTTTCCAGCCTATTATCTAATTAGGACGCCGCTTAAAAAGATACACAAGTTTAAATTGATTTTAAAGGCTATACTGTATATCTATCTATCTATATCTATAGATAGATAGACAGATAGAGATAGAGATAGAGATAGAGAGAGAGAGAGAGAGAGAGAGAGATAGAGATAGATAGATAGATAGATAGATAGATAGATAGATAGATAGATAGATAGATAGATAGATAGATAGATAGATAGATAGATAGATAGATAGATAGATAGATAGATAGATAGATAGATAGCACCAAACTGCTTATGTCTGAAAAACCATCATGGAAAACTTTAGCTGCATAAACAGAGTGCTCACATTGCAGTATTATTGAAAAATCTTAGTGACAGTTTTTTGTTTTGCAAATAAAAACATTGTTCTAAATCCAATTTTAGAACTACCAAAAACAGGCCCATTGAAAGAAATGTGATTTGTCACATTAAAAACCCCTGGGATCTATTAGCCCAAATCCAGTTGCTTTGTGTGACGTCACACTAGAGCAAGACCACTGAATCAGTAGTCAGTTGGTAAGTGCTTCTCTATAAGTTAAAGGAGCACTTACCATCCATTCAAATTGGCTTACTCTAATTGTCACTTAATACAGTAAACTGCAAGTAGAGTAGGCTCATTTGAATCAGTGGAAGTTATAGAGGAAATTACTCACCAAATTCCCATTGATTCATTGGACCTATATGGTGCAAATTACTGTGCTAAACAACAAGATTTTGGCCAATGACATTAGGAATATTTAACATCAATGAAACTAAATACAGTGGTGCCTCGACTTACGAACGTCTTGACTTGTGACCAATTTGAGTTACGACCAGCTCCGGTCAAAAAATTTTGCTTTGACTTGTGAACAGCGCTTTGAGATACGACCCTCCCTCCTGCCTTTCCTGCCCTTTTTTTAACCTTAGAGGATAGCTTAGGTTTAAAAAAGTCTCCCCGTAGTGGACAGATTAACCCCTTTTGCACTAATTCCTATGGGAAATAATGCTTTGAGATACAACCAGTACCTTGAGATAAAACCAAAAATGGCTGGAATGGATTAATTGCATTTCAATGTATTCTTATGGGAAATGGTGCTTTGAGTTACGACCAACTTGAGTTACGGCTATCATCCCGGAATGAATTAAGTTTGCAACTCAATGCACCACAATGAACAAGGAGATACCATCTTTATGTTGGAGATTTAAGAAAGAGAAACTTTCTTTTTATAATTACATTATATAAATATAAACTTATATGTGGTAGACATGTGAAGAGAGAGGATTTAAATGGATTATTGCTTTCAATGAGATTAAATAAATTATGGGGACAGATATATAAAATTTGCCTTCTCTATTACCTCGATCTTCCAGTGGTGGTAGAGTTGGGTGAAGACCTTTGTTACAGAAATCCTGATCTGTGCAACATGCTATTAATCTTCTTGGCTGGGACAGTGGTGTATCCTGCAACAGGCAAGAGTTATGAGTAGTTTTATCCTAAACAACAAAGCTATAGACAGTGAGGTTGTATTAATCTCATTATTCATGGTTAGACATGGGAACAAATTTTAAAAAAGAATTGTGATATTCGTGAAATATCGCTGATTCGTGGGATATTCGCCCCTTCATATTCATCAGGTGCAAAGACACCAATGAATATGAAGGGATGAATATTTATGCATTTTTATTTGTCCCCTGCAGGAATGGGAAAGGGAATGTCTCCCCATTGACAAGCAGGCTGGCTGTGGGAAGGCAAACTCTGGTTTCTGTTCTGCAGCCAGCATGCTTGTCAATGTCCCGACAATCAGCTGATGGTTGGGGAAAGATAAACCTGGGGTTCAGCTGATTTTCAGGTCATTGACAAGCAGGCTGGCTGCGGGAACTGAAACTGTGGTTTGCCTTCCCACAGCGAGCCTGCTTGACAATGTCCTGTCAATCAGCTGTTCGGGGGGGGCACTGTTTTTTTTATCTACAAATATTCATCGATTTGTCACTAAAATTTGGTGCTTCTTTACTATGTCCATTCATCAGCTTTGACTAATGATGCATCCCAAAGAGGCAAAATATTTTTGATTCATCCCCATCTCTATTCATGATATAATAATAAAGGAGAATAGTCTGCCACTGTGCCACACTGAGATTATCCAAGGCTGAATGTGACCTAGAAGAGTGGAAAGTTTGATTTCAGAATATATACTTACCCGGCACTGGAAGTCAGAACCTTCTAATCCTATACACCCTGTGGTGAACGTCTGCCCTCCAGAATCATCATCTTCTACCATAGCAAAACAATAGCCATCAGTACTGAATAAAGAAACAAAAGGAACATATGTATTTAACTAAACATTCTTACACAGTTTGTGCATATTCTTCTTAAATCAGAAAGAATCCTACTTTGAAATCATGAAATGAATGGCACTGAACAAGCGCAAAATTGGATATATGACAAACTGTTATTTGCAATTACCGATGACCGCCTCCTACTTCTCCAGACCTCTGTCACACAATGGGGGAAAAATGTCCGCATACAAACACATGTAATGATACATATTCCTCAGGCAGAAAGGGGCTACTAAGACTTGTGCTATTTCGATCAGCTCCCAATTCCAACATATCATGAGCTTATTTCAAAAAGTGGTATCTTGAACATTATGATAAGATCTACACTTGCCCTCCTATGTCCCCACTGTCTTCAATGATGCAATGTGAACAACAAATCCTTCCTTGAGCATCATGGTAGTGCTCCTATAACAGGAGCAAGTAGGAACCAGCTGCGTGAAGCCTCATACCTTCCTCTCCTGCATAGCTACTGGGTCTATATGATTTGCCAGCTTCTAGTTTTCCTTGACCACAGCCTTTCCAGGCTACCTAGACTAACAACAGTGGTTAATTCCTGACTACACTTATATTAAAACAATCCCAACTTCAAGGCATGGTTACTGAACAAAACAAAAAGCCAGTCAACTTTTCTTGCCTAGAGGGTAGAGGAAAGTGGGGTTAATCAAAAGAGAAGATTCGAAGTAGACATGTTGTAGGGACATTGGGTTGGTGTGTTGTTCTTTAAAGACTTCTCCTGACTTTAAGGTTCAATTGCTGCTTCTGAGTCCAGATAAACAAGCTCCTCTTCTTTACTTCACAGTTTATGGTTTCAACTTCTGTTTTAAATCCTACTCTGCTAGTTTCCAAAGTAGAAAAACTATGTCATGCTTATATCTTAGTGGGAGATACAAAACACCTGCTGATCCAGCAAATTTCACTTCAGCTTCTGGCATGTGGTACATTATTTAAACAAAAACAAAGGAATTAATGTTTGTACCTTTTGTAAAAGCATCAAACAGTTTAAGATGTGTTCTAAGTTATGTCATGTTCTCAACACAGTCCAATTTAGGACTGAAAAGAAAAACTGTAATACATACATTTGCATTCTCTCTAGTATACTAATTCAGATGTACATTATATCTGTACCTAAGAAAACTTAAGCACTTTATATCTTCCAAATCATTACCACAGAGCAGAGAAGCAGGCAGTTGATAATTACTTCTTCTGTATATTAATGGAACATATTTGGGTAATTCAAATAAGGTAATTTTCCTTCTGCATACCAGCTATTACAACTTCATTGTTCCAGCTCAGGAAAGAATGACAGAAAGCATTGCCAAGAAGAGACTGAAAAGCATCCATTAGGATGGTATATTATATTATGTTACATGTTATTTATTTGCATGGTGCCATTCACCCATATCAATGAGCAAGGATAATTGAGGAACACAGCAACAAAACAATGGATAGCAATTAACCTTTTTTTAAAAAAAACCTAAAAGCCATAATCAACTAATGGGTGCCAGTGAAAACCTTATAATTAGTTTTTCCAAGAAGAGAGAGTGAAGAACTTCTGCATTATCTGAATAAGTGGGAAGAAGTGAGGAACAGTAGGTTTGTACCAGCCAGTCAAGATTAGGCATTTCTGAGGTGCACTGATTTTTAATATAAATAAAGTATGATACCAATGATTCCACAAGAAACCACAACTTTTTCCCCCTACACTGTCCTTCAATTTAGTAGGAGACCGAAGTTTGCTCTGTCTTCCAAAACTGTGCTCTAGCAGTTTGGGAGATGGTTTGAATAGCGTGGAACCACTGTGATTCAGAGGGCGGACTGCTCCCCTTCCATGCGAGGGAGCCTCTCCTTTCTCTAAAATGAAGGAGCCCTCCATTCAAGGAGCAGCAACTCTGGTTCCAAAACAGACCCGAAATGATGAGGAGAACTCCTGCTTGAACCACAAAGTGCTCTTGCCCTCCAGCTAAACATATTTAGTACAAGTAGAATCCGCAAGGGTATGAAAGAATTACTCAATTGAATTGAGTTGAATCAGACTCCTTTTTGTGATGATTTAAATCTTGACGACAGTTCAACAACATCTGGAGGGTCACAGAGCCAATTGTGCTGGCATTCTGGGAATTTCAGGTAGTATCTGAACTAAGTTTTAAGAGTTCCCAATAACTCAGGATGTGAAAGAGCAGGGTGGTGGGAATGGAGACAATGGGAAAAAGAAGCCTTCTGGCTCATGGTTCAGTTTATTGGACAGAGGTGGTTATATCTGAACTGAAACATGCCTAATCTTTAAATAATTCCACATGCCAACAATTTTAACTTTGGTGTTTTGTTCTGTATTGTTTTTTAAGAAAAAGCTAAACATATACTTAAACCTCAACTCATTTTGCACATTTTCTTACACAGAACAACTTCTGGATGGAGTAATTAAGAAAGCAGAGGTTTGGTGTGTCATGTTTCCCTGCCAAGAATGGATTTTTAAAGCCAAAGAAAACATATGAAAGAAAAATGTAGTTTGTAAGGGAAATGCTGACAGGCCTTGAAGTAGAAGGTGCTGTTATAATTAAAGATTACCTACTCTAAGAAGATGATTTTAACAGGAACCTTTATGAAATGTCAAAATGGAGGGATGGGGACCAGCAGCTTTGTAGCTGTTTAAGCAGATGTCCTGAGTTGGAAGCTGGCCCTTATTTCGTATACAGTGGTGCCCCGCTAGATGCTTACCCCGTTAAACAACGAAATCGCTTGACAATACCTTTTTTGTGATCGCTATAGCTATAGCGATTGCAAAATGATGGTTCCTATGGGTTTTTTTCACTTTACGTCAATTCAGTCCCTACTTCAGGAACCGTTTTTTCACTGGACGACGATTTAAAACAGCCGATCGGCGGTTCGCAAAATGGCTCCCCGCTGTTTTCCGGATCTACGTGCGCATGACAGGGATCGCAAAATGGCTGCCCTATGGAGGATCTTCATTGGACGAGCAGGTATTTCCCCCATTGGAATGCATTAACCGGTTTTCAATGCATTCCAATGGGGCTTTTATTTTCGCATGACGACGATTTCGCTGTACAGCGATTTTAACGGAACACATTATTGTCATCATGTGGGGCACCACTGTATCAATCACAGCACTTTAACTTAATGTTATTCAAGAATGATCTTTGTCTTCCAGATGTTCAAGAGGCCTATCCTCCTTACAGCACACTTGTCCTCATCACACATTCATGTGTATATAATAAACAAGTGGAAGAGCAGGATGGTGATGCCCTTCCATTTGTGTGTGTGTGTTTTAAATTTATTACTTTTATATTCTGAGTTTTCTCCAGGGAGTTCGAGAAGGCGTGTGTGACGTTCCTCTCCCTCAAATTATCCTGACAACAACCCGATGAGGGAAGTCAGACTGAGACAATGTAAGTAGCCCAAAGTCATCCAGTGAATTTTACCACCCAGCGAGGATTTGAACCCAGACTTCTCGAGTCCTGGCCTAACATTGTAACCACTAAGCCAGTGGTTCCCAACCTTGGGGCCCCAGATGTTCTTGGACTACAACTCCCAGGAATCCTGGGCAGCACAGCTAGTGGTGAAGGCTTCTGAGAGTTTTAGCACAAGAACATCTGGGAACCCAAGGTTGGGAACTACTGCTCTACACTTTACTCTCTACTGTATCTTCCAAATTCAACCTAGGATCAGGAATAGGTTGACTGATATTGTTTTTCTTCCCTCTTTCATACACCTCAACATTCAGTTTTGAACATAACAAAAAATATTTTTAAAGAAAAAACTGAGACAGCTATGAAGGCATACTTGTTCAAACATGGAGTGAATGTATATTTATTTAATGGACTACTCTATAAAATAAGCAATGCCATGACTGAGTTGTACCTACCTACATACTTTTAAAAGGATTTATTGTGTGTCTTTGACAGCATCAAAGCCTTCTTACGAGAGTCACCCATAAAGGTCTAGCAAATAAGACGTATATTTGGAACTTCCCAGGTGCACAGTTTATTCACAGAGACAAGTTAAGGTTTCAAAAGGCCGAGGGCTAACATAACCTTTACAAGCCCAGGTTTTGGGGACTCTTTCAGAAGCTTTCACCTCTTGTGAAGAAAGGTCCTTGTTCATCAATCAGTCCTCCAAACACCTGTGACCTTGGCCACTGCCTCCTTCAAATATCCAGACAGTATTTACATATCCTTTGTGGTGATGCGAGATAACAAGGAAACCCAACCCCATGGCCTTGAAATGCTGCCAGAGCCCATGTGATTTATATTGTTCCTAAAATACACAGGTGAAACAAATTGCATCACCTCACTTCTGAAATTCAAGGTGCTAGCTTAAATTTGCCCCCCTTCTGAAATTCAAGGGGGGGGCAAATTACTAGTGTGCCACTTTGTTGAACAATCAGCCAGCCAGGGAAATGATGCAATCAAGGAAATATCTCCAGGTGGACAATAGTTAACTCTGCAGCCTTCAACCTATCCCCACATTCAGGATGATACATCACAAAAGAAATAAAAGTTACTGCCTTATATAATGTGAAGATTGGTGAATGCTAAGGATTCTGGAAGCAACAATACACATACAGCCTCCCCCCAATAGTAATATGAGATCTGAACAATGAACATGGCTTTCAGCTGTAACAATATCCAGAATTTGGAGGGGGATCTTCAGAGCTTCAGAGTTGATGAGTCCTGATAGGTTTCATAGAGATGGGGTCATTTGTGCTATCCATTTTTAGCATTCGCTTCAATCTGCTTAAAGTTTGCTAATAGGGACGTGGTGGTGCTGCGGGTTAAACCGCTGAAGCCTCTGTGCTGCAAGGTCAGAAGACCTGCAGTCGTAAGATAGAATTCCATGCAATGGAGTGAGCCCCGTCGCTTGTCCCAATTCCTGCCAACCTAGTGGTTCAAAAGCATGTAAAATGCAAAAATGCAAGTAGATAAATAGGTACCACCTCGGTGGGAAAGTAAACTGCGTTCCGTGTCTAGTCACACTGGGCACACGACCACAGAGGATTGTCTGCAGACAAATCGCTAGCTCTATGGGTTGGAAATGGAGATGAGCACCACTGCCTAGAGTCAGACACGACTGGACAAATTGTCAAGGGTAATGCTTTTTTATATGATGGTGGTGTCGACAATTAACGTAGCAGCGCTAGTGCACTAGGTCTTACACTGCACAGACACTATAAACACACTAAGCAATGCAAACTGAAATCAAAACCAAATATAATCCAAAAGTTCAAAATGTACAGAAAGGAATGTAGGGGATAAGGAAAAGCCACTAGTATCTAATGAAAGTATTACTAAACCAATACAGAGATCAACAGACGCAACCAAATAAGCAATAAATATAAAGCGTAGGGGATAAGGAAAAGCCACTAGTATCTGAAAGTATTACTAAATCAATACAGAGATCAACAGACACAACCAAATAAGCAATAAATATAAAGGGAATGGAAAGTTGTGATTAGATTAGACAATTATGAAAGATGATTGAAAGATATTAACACACATACTTCCAAAGACAGACTAACAAGAAAGGCCAAAAAGATTGAGTTAGACTACTCAAATTAAAAAGGCAAAATGTTTGGAAGTGAAAACACATGTACTTAGATCACTAGGTTCCACCCTTGGGTTCCCAGATGTTCTTGTACTAAAACTCTCAGAAGCCTTCACCACTAGCTGTGCTGGCCAGAATTTTGGGAGTTGTAGTCCAAGAACATCTGGGCACCCAAGGTTGGGTACCACTGACTTAGACTAATCAAGACAACAGCCTCCAAAAGATCCACTGCAATTTTTTTTCAAATTTCCGCTACTTAAAACTAAAGAAATGTAAAAGGGTGATTAGCTAGACAAGAGTTGACATGACATATTCCAAAAGATTCAATGGACTTCCTCTAGCTGTAAATTACTACTGGATTTCAACCTACTTGTTTTCCCACCACTGGTCTACAGAAACCATCCTGTTTCCAACAGTGACCAAGCCAGGTATTATGGGGGAACTTTGAAGTAGGACATAAAGGCACTAATCCTTTCCTACAGCTTGCTCAATAGCAACCGGTATCTAGGAATACCTCTGATACAGACATATTAGAGATATTTGCAGCTTTGTTTCACTATCATGACTACTAGTGTGCATGACTATGTCCTTAAAAGTCATCCAAGCCAGGTAAGCTTCAATGGCCATTATGTTTTGAAACAGAACAATCAGTGCTAACTGTTTATTCTATAAAGAATTATCTCCCCCCCAACCAACCTGCAGGTGTTGTTTTTTGCATTTTCAGGACAGTAATGATGACAGTGACACCACAGCTTCTTCTCAGTAGGAGCAACTGCTGTGCTCCCACTATCACCCTTCCTGGGTTCCATGTTGACTTTTCCAGAACTTCTCAAAGGCCTGCTGTCTAGGAAGTTTGCTGCAAAGAAAATGGAATAAAATAATGAGGAAGTTATTAGGCAGAGATACAAAAAAATGTATTTCCATTTTAAAAGAACCTTAAACCAAATTTATCAATAGCTATTTGTAGCCTATTATCATGAGTAAGAATCACCTAGAGCTGAACAAGCAGAGATGCATTTGTAACCTGGAAAACATTTTATTTATTTATATCAGTCTGCCATAACATATTAACAAAACAGGAAAGTTATATAAAACAGACACACTCTTCTGGCAGACAAGCTCATCAAACGTTTCGGAAGCTAGTAACGCTTCTGAACTTATTGACAACATGCTTTAAATCCAGGCTTTCATAAATTGGCTAATGACATTTGTTAATAAATTTTCTACACTATGCAATATGATTTACAATACCCCTAATCCTGAGAAGGATTGATAAAAGATTTCTACTGAGGGTCTTCTCTCTGTATATGAGAAATATCATCACCATAATAAATGTACGTACGTATGTACGTATGTATGTATGTACGTATGTACGTACAGTGGTGCCTCGCTTAACAATTACCTCGTTAAACGACGAATCCGCTTGACAGTGAGGTTTTTGCAATCACTTTTGTGATCACAAAATGATGTTTCAATGGCCAAAAATCGCTTTACGATGATGGGTTCCCTGCTTCAGGAACCAATTCTTTGCATTACGATGATCTGAAAACAGCTGATTGTTGGGTTTCAAAATGGCCGCCCACTGTGCAAAATGGCTCCCCGCTGTTTTTAGGAGGCATTTTTCGCTTTACAGGCACTGGAAAATGGCCGCCCTATGGAGGATCTTCCCTGGACAATTAGGTATTTAGCCCATTGGAACGCATTGAACCGTTTTTCAAAACATTTCAATGGGTTTTTTATTTTCACTTGATGAGGATTTCGTTCTACAGTGATTTTGCTGGAACGGATTATCCTCGTCAAGCGAGGCACCACTGTCTGTCTGTCTGTCTGTCTGTCTGTCTGTCTGTCTGTCTG